TAATTTGAAAGGTATCCAATATTTCATCCCATTAGCTCATCCACCTAGTGTTGTACTGTTACAAACAAAATTAATAACAAAAACACATTTTCATATAATAATATGAAATTCAAAACATGAAATGCTAAGCTAAGCGTCATACATGCTTAGCTAGTCCTCATTGCTCGTACCAACCTTATATTTTTATTTTTGTCTTTTTTTTACAGTAAATCTCAACTATTTATATAATCATAGTTCATAAAGTGGAATTTACCCAATCAACATTTTTAAGCTTTTCAAAAATATGTTACTTCGTTGTTTATTAATAATTTAATGTGTATCATCAATGTATGATTGCACATTACATGAGTTATTATTGTAATGCGTAACATTTATGAAGTACCAGTTATAAATTTCAGTAATTTAGTCAAAATCACCTCGGATAAAATCTACTTTCCCCTTGTTGAATCATGTTACACAAAGTATTAGATTAGAAAATAGCTCAACTAATGTTATACACAAGACACACTAGAGACGTTTCTACAGTAAACAAAAATATAATGCGCTAAATATAGATATGTGGACGTGTGATAATTGTTATTCGCTTATTTATTCTCAGCAATTATTAGACACAGTTTTACAGAGGCTAAAAACGATATGCCCCGCAGATAATATCTGTGAAGTACATCGGACAAATTAGGAATTCTGTTTACGTTGTTTTTACACGAAGTCACCACACCTAGAACTGGAACATCGGAGTTGGTAAAACATGCAAACAGACCGTTTCCGATGCGTTGTGTTACAAAAATCTTCGAAAAATAGGTTCGAGGTATTATCATTGTCTGTCAAAGCTATTTAACGACAATACGTGTGTAGATGTGTTGTACTGTATTTGTCATTTGACACTGACGGAACGATTCCAATCGCACTATAGTTAACGGCCTGAACCGATAAAACACAAAATCGACCCACATCATCGATATTTATCGGTTCTGACCCAAATGTAAGAAATAAAAGTGTACATCAAATTTAATGTAAGCGGCCAATTATATGTGTCGCCGTCGTAGTATCCGTATAAGAGAAAGATTGTGGTCAAGACTTTGTACAACTATTTCCAAGTACAACACGTTCTGCATAGTATATGAGCAATTGCAACGGCATCAGAATAAAATAAAGTATATTACACTCGTCCAGATTGTATGTGCCTATTGGTATGGTTGACTCGTGTACTTAATCCAAGACTAAAACTATTTTTTTTTGCACAGAGTGTGTGTGAATTTACAATGAAAATTTCATTTTTTCAGATAAAATCGTATAAACACCCACATATTGACCAAGGTCACTGCATAAGTTGAGGTCTCTGCTGTCAGTAGCCGTTCCCCCACTTATATAGAAGCGATTTTGTGTTGCTTGTATAATTTTTCTCAGCCTTCTTACACGAGGGCAGGCCAGAATTGAATTTATTGTATTAGAGTTATTGTTTTGAGAATGAATGAGTTATCATTGTAACAAATTGGAAGCGGAACGAATTAAACGAAGACCTTATAACGTGTAGTTATTGGCAGTTTATTTTATTTTTCAACAAAATTATCTCGACTGTCCGAGGTTAAACGATATAATAATTTTTAATATATATATATGTTTTCCTTTTTGAAACAACACAATGGTGTTTTTAGCTGTTTTGTACTCTTAATACTTTTTTTGTGTAAACAAGACAACAAAACGCTCTACTCCATTTCGTTCCGATCACTGCACGCCGTAGTTGCGTAACACAATCAAAGATCGTGTTTCCACAGTATAGATCACCAACTGTTGTCTGCATTTAAATATTGTCACCGTACCGAAGAAAACCGAGGCACACCACCGTTGTTGCCCATTTAGTAATCGAATGAAATAAAAAGCCCGTCGCTAATATCGAATATTTTAGGCCTGATAGTTGTCAGGATGGCAACAGAGATTCCTAAAAGATGTACTAGAATTCATGATGTTTTTTTTTGCATCGGTAATTACCATTTATTCGGAGCAATTTGCATGTTTTATATTCTGTTATTTGCCTATTTAACGTTCCCATACTTCACGATTAGTCGCAGTTTGTCTGCGTAAAACACCGTATATGACCCAGATCGTCTGCCGCATATACTCAAACAGCATATCGCAAATGTTACGCGATATTATTATTATTGTCAGTGTACTCAGATGACACCAAGGCGCGTTATAATGTCGCGTTTACTTAAAAAAACTATTTTCAATAAAAAAAAAAACGATTATTATTTTTGAATCAATATAATATTACATAAACGAGCAAAAATGTTTACCAAACTTGGCGTAATACTCTACCAGAGAAATTGTGTTTAATCATTCAAATCGAAACGCTTATTTTCGTTGTTTCCTACTGAACTATGTGCTCAATTTACAATGTGTCCACTATTTGAACTATGAGACCCCAAAGAAATGTAAAGTCTTCTACTATTATTTTTATAGGCCACGCCTCCGCTTAATGTAACATACATTTCTTCTGAAAAAAAAACTGACCGCAGTATGATTGTTTCTTCGTCTTTAAATTTATGTTATCTCTCGAGAAGACCATTTCATATCTCAGAATGTCTTAAGTACGACAGAGCTATCCCATCAAGACGAGTCGTGCCGCTTTGATATAGATTGTCGTACGTTTATTCTCAGGATATTACACGTATGAAAATATTTCAGAATAATATTTTCACGTACAAAACATGTATTTTAAATTTGTTAAAATAGATATGATGTATATAACGACTTGGAATTAAATGGCTCGCTTAAACGTAGGCAATAAAAAACATATATGATGTTTAAGTTATAGCATAGAAGCATCTAAATCATTATCTGATACCGTCGTATAATTTATTAAGACAATAAAAAAAAGAGCATAGTTTTTGTACCACGTATTATGTATTAAGTAGATTTGATAACACTTGTTTTTATTCCTTATGTGTAGAGATCTCGCTAAATGAATAAAAAAATAATAATTTTTATCGTTTTTTTGAAATTCTCCTTCATATTATCACCTCAGTTTTTCTTATTTTCTTCAAATCGTTCCAATTTGTTTGCCTCAGATATTCATAAAATTCTATCTTATAATTAAATACCTTAGGCAAAATATTTTGCTTCAGACCTCGCGTGCTACACACCAATTGATATGAGAGTGGCCGCGCTCCAGTCTGTTGCAAACCACGAATTAGTCTTCAGATGTTTATTAACATTATTATAGATTTAAACATAACTTGATACTGTTATGTTATATATAAGTAAATTGCCAATTGGAAGAAGAAACCAGTGCAACGTTGAACAAGTTTGACTATGTGCACAAACAGACACATCGCCTTATTCGAGTGAGCACTTGCAATATATTACCATTTAACTTGAATATCAGATTATTACAATATTAAATTGTTATTTAGTATAAAAACTATTTATGAAATTAAGGTCCCATTGAAATTTACGGTAACAAATTTTGTAGTTATATAATACATGAAAACCGCAAAATTTCGAAATATAAAATAACAATGTGTGAAGTCGACAGTTGAGTAGAAATTAATTTAACCTAATCATTTTCATTTATATGGAAAAAATCCCCTTCATTAAAAAATATAATCTTCGCTTAAGATCAAAGGTTTAATTAATAAATAAATGTGAGATAAACTCTCGTTTTTTTTTTTTTTTAATGAAACACATACAGTTTACGATAATTTAACTAAAATAACGTTGAGCTTGAAAAATTCATATTTGAATTTGATTTCGTACTTAAATTTGGATATAACTTTTAATGAATTATGCATTATGAATATACACCATTATGAGCTGTTATCTTCCATGGTTCATATCATATCTAGGAGTTAAAATATTTGTAAATCAATGAGTACTTCTCCTAAAATTCTTATTGATCATACAAATAATTATAAGAATTAGTCTAAAAAATTACTATTTTGAAATTTTTAAAAAATTAAAAATAAATAGTATGCTTTTAACGTAGTTTAATAATGCAAACATTTTTTAAAAAATATATATTTGTAACGAAAAGACAATTATATTAAAAGTTTAAATGTTAACTTTTTGATCTGTCCCATCCTGTATATGTATACTTAAATATTAAAATATTAATAATAATAAATTTTGATAAAAAATTTGTGAATAGTATAAAATGAGAGTATGTGTATAAATAACTAGATCTTTTTTATCAATATAATTTTTATTTGGTAATTTAACACATTAACATTGTAAAATATTCACAAATTTAAAAATTTTTGTTGTTAAACAAATAGTAAAATTGTTAAATTGTTTACATTGATATGTTACTAAAATGAAATATCTAAAAAGTCACTAAGTAACACAAAACTTGTATGCCTGCAAATATTAAACAAACAATAAAGGCGATAAATCCCTGTCATATTGTAAAATAAATAAAGTAAAAACTTTATTAAATAACTATTTGAATAACCACAAATCAAAGTATATATTTGTCGTATCAATATAACAGAATTAGCAATCAATTTTTTCTACTTAAATGTTTTACAATATTTTATTATTATATAAAATATATATGTTTATATCTTAGATAATTTATTAATAAATAATAAAAATTGTCCATATTTAAGAGTTCAGACATTTTATTGCAATAGTTTTTAATTCTTCGTGTTTTTACTGAGGGATTTTTAGGGGTAAGGCGATCAGAGCTCAAACTCTAGACCCTATGCTTTGTGCGTGAAGTATTACATTTTTTACGCAATTGTAGGTATGGCCCTTTTCTTACAATGAAAAACTTTCTATCAAATCAATTATAGTAACTAAACTTTGGTCCTTTAAGAATATTTTTTCTTTGAAAAAAAAAAATAATAATAACTTAAAATCTCACCATCAAAATACTTTTTTTCTGGTAAGGTGCAAATACTATACAGAGTAAAAAATTTTTAAATATGAATGATCACTAGTTCATTAATGAAATTAATTCTAAATATGTTTTAGAGTAAAATAACAAAAATCTTAATTACCTGTCAGGAATTATCACATTCGATGCTCTAAGTGATCAATCCTAGAACAGCATTATGTTATCCAAGGCAGTAATTCTCGAACGCTGTTCACGATAATATTATGCTGTCAATAATTAAACGAATCAAATAAATCGCACAGTGCACACGAATGATCGACGGCTTACGTGCGGCAAGCGACTCTACACGGTGCAACAACTGTATGAAAACTGAGGACATCTCCGATGGTTCTTTCACTCACCGGCTACACTCTCTCTCAGTATAACCTGTTCCACGCCCCAATGACCACCGCGCTAGCCGTTCATCTATGCTGCTCTTTACGTCCACTCTAAGCTGCTAATGAAAGGTTTAGTTCTACCTCAATCAATATTTAAGTACTCTATTCATTTTATTTAAAAAGTACCTAAAAATATTTCCAGCTATTTTCTGTTAAGTCAGTTACATTAATTTAATCATAGTGTACATTATAAAATTATTTTACAAAATGTACGTTTTCTTTAATATTAACATATTTATTTCCAAGCAAATTAATTATTTTTACCAGTCAACAAGTATTTTACTTCCAGTTAACTAGAAACAATTGATTCTGAAACCTATTTTTTTTGTTATGCAAACTATTTTTGATTCATCAGTACTAACTATTCAATAAGTAAATGAATAACGTACAATATATTTTTGTAAACGTTTTGTACTTTTATTTATCTGTGTATACAAGTTAAAATACGTGACTTTCGCGTATTTTGAATGCACAGCTTATGTAAATTACAAACTGTTTCTGCAGTATAGGTAATTCAATGTGTTCATCATAAATACAATTCATACATGAATTCATTGCTTAATATAACAACATTTATATACAGTCAATGTGAGACTATTGTAATCTTCGCTTCGAAAAATTAAAAAATTCATTTTCAACGATTTTTATTAAATTTAAATGTTAGCTAAAATATGTTTGTTATTCTTGAGCTTATAAGACAAGTAGACAAAAATTGAGAATTAAAAAATAAACATATTCAGTTTTTATGTTCGTTATTAATTTTAAATAAGTTATTAGTTTTTCATGTGTCTCTAGTATATGTTCAAAAATAAATATTGAATTTTATTACAGGGGAGAGCTTGTGAAAATTGAGTAATTTTAATAATAAATTATTAATAACCACCTTGAACATTTAAAAAAAATTATATAATAGATAAAATTGACACTTTCTGTAGTTAATTTTTAGATTATTTTTCAAATAAGATTTAAAGTTTGAACAGGTGTAAGACCTTGGTAGTACTTAGAACATACTTATTTAAAATGTATTTAGGTAAACTGATCTATAAAACTATTTTTAATGAATGATTGCTTAGATAATATAGTTAGAAAGGACTTTTAAATTATGAGTAAAACCAACTATATAACATTTTCATTTATCTTATTATATAATGGTTGATAATTTATTAATGCATTCATCATATTATTACCAATCTCGTTATATTCCCATATTTCTTTTCTTAAAAATACTTCATAATTTGATGTTCTTTACATCTATTAATCAAATATAGAGATTTCAGAAACACGTAGCTGAAATTTCTGTTTTTCATAACATTCTATATTTAAAACAATAATATGTTCGTTGGATCATAAGTTATTAATTTTGATTCCTACATAGGCTATAATAAACTTTTATTTTTTATTTTATATCTCATTTAAGTATCCAATTATAAAAATTTAATCCTAAATCATACTTGATAATATGTTGGTATTATTACTAGTTATACTAACAATTTAAATATCACCGGGTTGTTGGTTAAATTAGTATTGGTTAATTTTTTTACTAGAATATTTATTAGCGTTCAAAACTCATTTGTATTATTCAAAGTTAATTGTATAGTAAATATATATACACATTTAATTATAGGTGGTCGAACATACAACTTATTTCTTAAAATCACTATAGTAATAAAGGGATTTCCAATAAGAGGTGTTATTTTGAATAGCCCACTATTTCGGTAGATGTCACTTTTGAAGCTGTAATTTTTTGACATTTGACAAGTAGAAACTACGCTATTAATAAAAATGGAACGATACACGCTTCAACAACGCATTGAAATTATTAAAATTCACTATAAAAATGATGAAAATTTGGCAGAGACGGTTCGTAAAACTCAAACATTTTTGGGTCGTCGTGAAGCACCTTGTCGGACCGCAATACAGAAATTGGTGAAAAAATTCGAGTTGTTGGGACAAGTTAGTGATGTGAAGAATAAAATTCGTGCAAGTCGCTCAAGAACAGCCGAAAATATTGTTGTTGTAGCCGAAAGTGTTGAAGAAAACCCAGGTTTGTCCATTCCTCGTCGTTCTTTGGAATTATGCGTTCCAGAAACATCATTACACCGTATTTTGCATAAAGATTTGGCTTATAAAGTCCAGTTAACACAAGAACTCAAGCCGGCCGATCATCAAAAACGTAGTGTCTTTGCTGATTGGGTCGTTGAAATGCACCGTGTTATCTCTCGAAGAGGCGATCACAATTGGCCACCGAGATCTTGTGATTCAACACCTTGCGACTTCTTTCTACACTAACAGCCCAGCGTCGATTCAAGACCTCAAAGATGGCTATCGAGGACATAGGGTAGTCACTTTGCGTTTTGGTTATGGAAAATTTCATGCAAAGGATATTGTCCTGTAAGCATGGTTGTGGTGGTCATTTGCCTGAAGTTATTTTCCACTATTAACCGCATACCTTCCTTTTTATAATGAAATAAACATCCGATCATTTATAACAAAAAATGGCATTTTTCTTTGAATATCAAAATAACACCTTTTATTGGAAAATCCTATATTTTAATCATCCATTTCATAGTTTTAGAATAAACAATAATAACTTTTTTTAACTAAAAAAAAATTATATTTAGATTTTTCTGTTTATAAAAAAATCATACAACAAAAAATACAACTGAAAAAATTAATACTTTTAGAGAGTTGCAAATTTATTTTTCCCATTTTCATTTTATCCTCGACAAATTTACAAAATATTTTTACGAAAATAGGTCTCGATAATGTTGGTTTTTTGGATATATATATTTTTCTTTATCAAAATTGTTTTTGACTAGAAGTTATTTAGTTATATACGTAACTTACCAAGTAATTTACGTGTTTGCCTTTGATCGAAAAAACGTCTGGGCGTACGCGAAATTATTTGCCAAAAGTATTTGGATACTTGCCCATAATTACTCTTATGTACGATTGTTATTTCCAAAGTGACCAAACCATGAATTATATCAATGTCAAGACTATTTAATGACAATAATAAGGTTACTTAGTATTGTTACCAAAACAAGTCAATGACACGAAGTTCCTGTTTTTATTTTCTTTAATGATTCTACGTAAATAAATATAATTAAAAATAATAATAATACTTTAAAAAAAAAAAAACCATAATGTCTGCAATTATATATTAAATATCTTGTACTTTTTTTAAAGTAATCTCCTGATGAGTTTCAATAGATTTGATAAAATATTACATAAAATTATATGTAAGTCATTAAAAAAATGTTGTGATTTATTAAATTTAAGATCATGTAAAATGTCAAAAGCTCTGTAAATTATTACATTGAATAGCGTAATTCTAACTAAACAAACATCATATAAGAAGTAAAAATGCTGAATCATTCAGCAGACATTTTTACTATTTGTACTAGTATATTATGTCCGGAAGTATCTTTTCTAGCCATAATTACAAGTAACACTATTTTTTAATAATAGAAAAAACTAACTCGACTCTATGAAATAATCTATTTTCATAAATGACAGTAGATTTAACGACTATTCATTTAAATGCCACCATACCTTCAAGAAATTATATAATTGGTGATCTGAATTCTAACTCGGTTACGACAAGAGTTTAATATCTTGTATTATAAGCCCATTGCACAGTTATGTACCACATGGACATATATGTATAACGTCATCATTAGTTTAATGTTGAAAAAGTTAACGATATCAAAATGTCCTGAGTAATTAATCCTCCATTTTATACAGAAGTAAATAGGTCCACGGTGCAAACTTTATTAATGAACAAACCATGAAGTATCGCTTTGTGTTTTGAAAATAGACAAGCTAAAATAGTTGGTATCAATAATGGAATCATCAGCATTTACATTCCTCGAGCTTGTCCACAATGGTACGCAGTTGAGACAGAGGCTTAACACTTAAATTACATTTACTTTTATTAATGAGTCTAGAATGCCTCACACCAATGAAGACTTAGTGCTGCATAATAACATGCCCTGTAGGCTAGTCTCGTACAGTTAAGATTTTGTATTCAACTACGGTATCTACTCTAAAATAAAAACTAACCTCGAGGAGTGTACCGGATACGAAATTGAAAATAAAATCTTTCATCTACTTTAGCTTGTGGCCAAAAAAACAAATGATAATGAATATCATTAAATATAGTGGCAGTTAAAATTAATAAATTAATTTTTAAGTAAAATGGTTTTTTAACATTTTTTTGCCCTTCGCTCTTGTTAAAGTACTATTCTTCAATAATAAATATATGTCATAGCCTGAATTTTGAAAAATAAAGTTGACGAAATTATATTTCTTAATGAGTGTTTAGAGTATACAAATAGTTTAATCCGGTCTTGATTGTAACAAAATTAATATTATGGTTTTTGCAACTGCTTAAAATTATTTAACTGAATATAATTTGAAAACACATCATAATGTGTTTATATATATAGGAACATATTCCTCACAAAGGTTTTTATATGTTTAACGTCTTCTTAGCTGAGTAACTTAGTAACTAAAGTATCTACTGATAAATTGACAAATCGTCATATCAGTTTTTGATCCATTATTCTAAAAAACTGCATTATAAAGGGTCATGTGTAGCCATTGTATTGATTGATATGGTACAACTTTATAATGACTATGCTTAATACTTTTAACATTAATACCTAATTAATTAGATCGCAAATGATATTTTCTATAATGCAATATCAGTTTTATCCGAACCAGGTTGGATAACTTTCTCTGTATGCTCTTATACTCACACGGTTAGCAATTATAATTGTACTGCTCCGTTAAATTTAGTTAGACATAAGAGTAATATGGTTGTTTACTTGAAACTAATTCGAGTTTTCATACCTACGCTCTTATTTATAAATAATTTAACTAAATATGTATAACATATTTAATATATTTAGTTAAATTAATGATTCTTAATATTATTTTTAACGCCGGAGCACACAGTATA